AAACCAAAACCAAAAAAAACCCCACACTTTACTGGAAGCAGCAGTGTATTACTTCAATCCAGCTCTGCAGTGTCTGTAAAGATGGGGCACATCAGTGGGGCTTTTTGGTGCTTTTAGCTAAAGCTAAGTCAATCAGCTGTTACATTTAAACACCAAAAAAATCCTACTAAGGCACCCAATCTTTACAGCCAAGTGAGTGGGTTGAAGTAATGTGCTGCCTCTTCTGGTCATGTGAGGGGCTTGGGAACACACCAAGTTTAAAGTAAAGTGCCATTTTTTTAATGTCTGCAAGCATCCATAGTTACTTATGTCTAGGCACCCACCAACATTGTGATTTCTTGATTTTTGTAGGAACCATTAAATCAGCAGATTGCCCGCATAAAAACCCAGTCCCCATGAAAAAGCATGAAAATGGCCAGTAAGTGGGGGGTGGCGGGAAGGGAGCTGCAAACAGAAAAGGGTGAGAACTGAGAAGCTCTGCTGTCCTGAAGCATGGGGAGGGTGTGGGGGAGAGTGGAGAGTTTCACTGCCGAGTGAAGTGCTCCCCCCATGCCTCTGATTGGCCAAGGGGCCCTGGAAGTCCCATCCCTCCCCAGAGATTGACAGATGGCCATGGGGGTGGGTTGCTGTGCTCTGCCATGAAAATGGTGACTGGCACAGTTCTCAAACCATGAAATTGGGGGGTAGCTGCCCCAAATTTGGTAGGTTCTTATTTATGTCTAACAGAAACAATATCTTCTGCTGGGTAAGCAATTTGGTGAGAACAAAACCTCAAAAGATGAAATCGGGTGTGGATTCTAATTCTAAGCAGGAATAATACCTGTGGTTCCATAAACACCTCGGTACCAGGTACCACACCATCTAATAACATGTTAATACACAAAGCCAGTCGCTCAATCTCTACTCACTACAGCCCTTACACATGAGTGCTCTTCCCTCCCTAAACCAATCTCCAGCTTGTTCCCTTAATGCATTACTGGATCTCCTCAGATGTTACCAACTCTATCATGTCTTTAAGACTTTTCCTTGCCCACCCATGGCTGCAGTTGGCTCCTGCTGACTGGGAAGTAAGGAAAGACACAGCTCTGCCTCTTTAGGGAAACCACAGCATGCCAAGCTATGTTACCCTCTCCCCTCCTCTCCCACCCCAGAGGAAGGGAAAGTCCTGGCTCATGTTCATACCCCTGCTTGCCAAGCCCTCTAGGCTAGGGACATAAACCAGTTTAAATGATCAAAAAGTGGTTTAAACCTGTAACACAACAGACATTCAGTGCACATAAACCAGTTTCAAAATGGCTGAAACCAGTCTGAGATAAGCCTGGTTGAATGTAGTATTAGACATAACTGATTGAGCTCAAACTGGTTTATGCAATGTCTGTCCCAGACCCTATTAGCAAGTCACAGTTGTGTAGGTCTGAGACAGCATTAAATGTTAACCTTTAACCACTCTGAACCTGTTCTAACTTTTTGATGGCATGACAGTTCACAGATTTAAATGTTTCAAAGGTAACCTGTAACAGCATCCTTAGACAAGCTTTCAAATAAAAGACATTCTCCATCAAGCTGCTGTATCCCAGCTATACAGTTGGTCCAATTAAAGATATCACCCTAGGAAATCCTTGCCTTCTAAAAAAGAACGGGATCACCTCTTGCTACTTTGAAATTTGGATTCTGGAACTGAATCTCCCAGAGAAACTGCCCTTTTGGTATCCTTTACCCTTCCTCTGTGATCCTAAACCTTATGGGTTTTCCAAAATCCAGTCAGCTCTAGTCACAGTTAGGCATGAAAATACGAGAGTTACCCAGGGAGGCAATATTATTCCATATTAAGTAATTCGTAAGCATACCTTTAACATCCTGCTTTAATGGCTATTTGCTATTCAGTATGCATCATGATTTGCCTTTTTTTCCCTCATAGTGGAAGTTGAAGAAGGCAGTGCAGCTGAAAGTGAAGAAAATGACAAAACAGGTAACTGGGGATGAACAATTTTCCTGTTACAATATGTGAAACTGAAGGTTGTCTTAGTAACAGGGAGGTCTCCATACAACTAAATGACTGGTTCTCCTTTGTGTGTTTCCTTCCTAAAAATGATCATGAATCTATAGAAGAGAATAAAACAGATGGTGATGATGAGGGAGACCAAAAACCAGATCCTGTGCACCGTGTACCACGCAAGAGACCACAGAGAATACGTGTGGGGCTTGAGAGTGATTCTGATGAAGAAGTCGGCAAAAGCAGGAAAAACAGAGCAAATCAGAAATCCAAAGAGGAGGGTGGTGAAGATGGTGAAGATGAAGAGAAAGGAGGCAAAAAAGGGAGAGGCAAAAATGACAAGAAAAATGATAAGAAAGGGAAAAAAGAGAAGGCCAACAAGAAAAAGAAGGATAAAAAGAAGTCAGGTTCAGGGTAATTCATTATTTTATTTATGCAATTTGGAATCTATCAGTGCTTACAAATAGATATTTATAGTGTTATACATGTGAGCCAACATAACTCCAGAATGAAAGCAAATGACAAAACCTTACTGTTTCCCCCCAAAACAAAATGGTGTTTTTCAGCTGGCTGTAAGCCAGATTTACACAAGCCTTATCAAGACCTTGGTTTCATAATATTTCAGCAGCTCCTACTGTGATAGTTACAGTCATATTTTCAAGGGATCATCACCCAACATGCTGAATTATTTAGCAAACCTACAATTATTACTTAGTCATTATTTAGCAAATTTAGTGCCAATTTATTTAGGAGCTGAACTTATCAGAAAATCCAACACAAACTGCATGCTGAACAAAGTTATGGTCCTTTTTCTATTAGACTTGCTTTCTTTTTTCTCTCTGTCTCTTCCTATCCTCTCTTTCTTCACCCCACTTCATTTTTAATGTCATATTCTTTGAAAGGAATTAGTCCCTGGGAATAGTGTATCACGGAGCTTGTTTCAGTCAGAAACGAGAGGTTTCTACTTCAATCACTAGAAGTGTTGGTGCTCTCAGATACACACTTGAAAACCACAGCAGGGATCATAGGAAGATAGGAAAGGGCCACATGAGCCATCAACTACAACTTCGATTATCAAAAAACACTGCAAAAATGTTGTCATACTTGTTACACTGATTGATCCCCAATCCTATTTCAGTGTATTGCGAGCTAAGTCATATTTCCCTTTACGTTCCTGAGTGGCACATGCTGAACTCTGTAAATGCAGTTTTTTGGCACTCTCATGCAGTTTTTGACTCAGCCTTGGATGAGCAAGCTCACACACAGGTTGAGCATGACTACTAGGACTGCCCTCTGACTGAGTGGCTGCAGAGCAGAATAGGTTGCCTGGGTGTACACACCTTTTATCTCAATAGCTAAGTGAATATAGAAATATAAGTAGCATACTGGGTCAGACCAATGGGCCATATAACCCAGAATCCTGTCTCTGACAGTGGCAAGTAACAGATGCCTTCATGGGAGAGTACAACCAGGGCATGTGGTCCATTCCCTGTCATACCCTCCCAGGCATCAACTATAATTGATTTAGTAATGTCAGAGGACAGCTCCCACTAAACCTGTCTTCCATGAATTTGTCTAATCCCTTGTTTTAGGTTTTAGAGTTAATATTGTTTAGTGGTTAGGGCAATTGCCCACTCCACCTTGCATGTAATATTCATTGGATAAAATGGGTAAACGGCACTGGGAAAGTTCATGTCCAGTTTGAACCAGGGGACCCAGACTGGAATGAAGGGCCTCCTTTTATAGGGAACATCGATTTCACTAGGCTATGCATCCTCTGCTTTGTTCTTTTTCTTCTGGCCCTAATTTCTTTGTTGCGCCAGAAGAAGAGAGCAGGAGAGAGGCCTAGGCAATGCACAGCCTATGGCCTGGTAGTTATAATACTGTATTTTGTTAGAAAGCAAGACATACAGGTTTGCATCCTCTCAGGGAGCATCTTTTATTCCCCTGTCAAGTATATTAACCATTAGGCTACTGGGCTAAACAGCGGGAGGGCTTTCTTCTGTTTTCACTTCCAGCACAAGGCAATTCCATTTCATGAGAATGAGGAACAGAATTGAAAACTGTATGTACGTGCTACACCTTGCAATTATGTGGCTGTGTACATGCCATTTAGGCACACAAAGGGAATTAGCCTTATGATTTCATTTCCCCCTCCATTTTAGAATTCCTACAATGTATCTTTGTTCCAGCTCTTCACTATAGTGTCAATTATATCATCATCTCTCTTCTGTGTGATTTTGTGCACTCATATACGTACTACTCAATTAACGTTTGTAACTGTGCCAATCAAAGTTCTTTTTGCTTATTGTCATCATGGTCTATTGTGAGCATTCAAAAGATATGCTAATTAAAAAGATTCAGAGAAATGTAAAATTAAATGAAGACAGAGTACTTTACTTTGGATTAGAAAGTTCAGGACAAGGGGATATATTCATTTGGCCAAATAATGAGGAATCATTGTATAAGCTGGGATCATATATGAGGAATCACGAAAGACAGCTAATTGTTCCTGAAGCATGCAAGAACATTGCCTCCGTAGACAGTGGGCCAACTAACAAGATCATAGATTTTTTGACCTAATTTTAAGTGTACAAGCTATTATAAATAAGGTAAATAAGGGACACCCATGATAAAAGGGGCTTTCTTTTCATCTGATATCAGAAGCTTATGAACTATGTTACTAAAAACATCTTCAAGATTTAAAAAAAGCAAAGGTTGAAATAACTTGAGGAAAGTTTTTAAATGGCCTGTTTTTCAAACGGAACAGATAAGGGTGTTGAAAGAGATTTTTTAATAGAAGGACACAGACATTGTATCGACAAAGAAAAACGTGCTGTTGGTCATTTAGGGTTTAATTCAGATAAAACATTTGCAAGCCTTGGGGAGGAAGGTTAGAAATATAAGTTCTTTAGTAAGGCCATGTGGACTCATCACAACAAAAGTTTCAAGTGATAAGCATGTAGAGGCAATTGAAATAACACCCTTGGGGATCTTGTTTACACTGATGCAACTTATTTGCACAATAAGTCTGTCAAGACTGAAACATTAAGCATGTAAATAGGTCAAATGCTCTTAGTGGGACATATGTAAAGTCAAGCATGTACTAAAGAGCTTTGTTAAACAAGGGGGTAGCAAAAATATAGGCAGTACCTTTATTTGTGATTAAAGCAATGATCCAAGAAGAACAGCAACTCCTTAGAAATACAAAGCTTGGAGGTTTTATGGGAGTTCTAAATTGGTAAGGGAATTTAGAAATGAAAATCAGGAATATAGTCAAACCTATTCATTTATAGCTTCCGTTGAGTTATAGCTTCCCTGAGTCTGAAAGCTCCATCTGTCCTACAGGAACTTTCCATTCAATATACTTAGTGAAAAATACAGTGTCTTTCTTAGTCTCAGTCTTTACAACAGGTCCAAATGTCAATATTATTAGTTTTAAAAGCATAAAGAGCTCAGAAATTAAATCAATTAAAAAACGCTAAAAATGGAATGAAATAAAAAATGAATAGGTAAGTGCAAAGTTCTTAGCTGGTATATAAATCCATAAAGCTATATTGACTTCAAAAGTTCCATTGATTTAAAGGCATGTATTGTGGATTTGAACCAAGGATACTATGAGCTTGATGTAAAATTACTGAGTTAAGATCTGTACTGGCTTTTATTAGGCATGATGTCAGAGCAAAAGTTGCCAATAAACCCTTATAGCCTTAATATCTATGAATCATTGCTACTCATGAAAACCCAGGACTTGATAGTTGTAAATGAAGGTAGACTGCTCCCAGTAGCACAGCTTTCCACTATTTGAATTAAGGAAAATGTTGTGTAACTGCATCAAATTTGATTATAGATGGTTGAAATTTATTATTGAAAATTAATTGAGAAATACAATTTCATTGAAATCAATCCTTCCTACAAACCTTCCAATATTGATATATTTTCTTTATTTTTGATGAATAAAATAAAACATGAAAGGTGTTTTAGTTCTGTTCCCCTTGAACACTTTTATTGAAAATCATTTTTTTTTCCAGAAATAATATGATCTGCTCAAGGACTGACTTTGTATACAGCAAAAATCAGTGCTTCAAATACAAGTTCCAATGTTTATCTTATCCTTTCTAGTTCACAAGATCTCTCCTGTTTTGTACAGGCCTCTTTTCTTAAGGGTCTCACTGCACTAAGACTTATTTCTCTTATTCATTGTACTATTCCTATTCCCCCTTCTCTACTCCCTCCTACATTCTCTTTTTAGAGTATATCTTTCAGGGTTTTTGTGCCGCTTTTGGGAACAATCCCAAGCTTCTTTTACCTGCTCCTGTTATGCATATGCCAAACCTGGAATTGGGGGTATTCCTTGCTGTCACTCTTGATAGTTCTGTCTGTCAAGATTGTGGGCAACAATGGGGAACCATCGGGGAGATTTTGCCACCTAATTTCTGTGTTTAGTATTTTAGGAATGGAAGCAAGTGGGCAGGGTCTTGTCAGGAGCACTGCAGACTGGTGTATTTATAACATGAGAAATGGCTCACCAGTTTTGCACTAGCTGGAGGGAATCCTCAGCTGCCATATCAGAACATAGCAGCTGGTACAGGAAGGAGCCCACTTTCTTATAAATACTAAACTCTTCCTCTTCAAGGCCTTCTGTTCTTTTTTTAAAGATACCGTTCCTTCCATTACCATTAAAAAGCCTCATGTTAATATAAACAGGAAGTCTTCCTTTTGCATTTAGGACTGGTCTAAATGTCTTTGTAAAGTTCATGCACTTGTCCATCTCAATACCATGATGACAACCAATAATGATTTTCCTCAAAGACCTTCATTTTTGGAGATTTATATTGTCCATGGTTCATTTTTATCACATCTGTTTGCCAATATTTTATGGATGAGTTCACCTTCTTTAGCATTTAGGTCACTTTAATATGTATGGTAATTGCAAGATACTGTTTTTCCTGTTCTCCTAGATCAGTCTCATGTGTCTTATATGGTCACTTGAAATGCCATTTTTATTTTCTTGCCACATCGCGTTTGTTGGCAATTACATTTCTTTGTTACCAAAGTTGAACCTGGGAGAACAGCAAGAATAGCATATTTAAAGGTCTTCTAAAACCAATTTTACTATGATTGTGTGACTTTTCTTAACTTCCATGAACATTATGTCCCACAAATCTTTTGTTACAAATATAAATAGAAAACACATTTTAGACCCATGGCTGAGGTTCATTGAATTTTAAAATTAATCAAAAGAAAGTTGTTTTGCAAAGAACAGATATTTATAAAGCCTTGGTCATCCAGTTCAGGAACAGAAACCATACTGTGTGATGTAAGTAATTGTAATCATACAGCTCAAACATCAGTTTATGGATCCCAACATGTGAAAGTTAACTTGTAGGAAACAATTTGCAAACAGTCGCATG